TCCACAATGCTTTTTTTAAAGAGTCCACTGAATCTCTTTGCCCTACAAGCAAAGATAAACTGTTCCATGCTTTCCAAGTTGTGACGGTTAAAGTTCTGCCTCCTTCTGTTTCGCGATTATATCTCGGAGAGGTTAGGTTAAAATTACAGTATCTGGTTTGTCTACTGTAGATGTTGCTGTATAATTTAAGTAGATTGATAAGATAAACAGGGACATCACCTTGTAATTCCTTATAAGCAATGATACATTCAGATATTAAAATGTCTTTATAAAAAGGCAACCATTTCAGTCAATTAAACAAGGGAACTGATGGTGCTAGAGGGGGGACAAATAAGAAAGGAAAAGTCTAAGGTAACCCCAGTAGATGTCCCATGACCACTTATGGGAAAGTCCACTGATGAGAATGTGTAGATACACAGTTTGCAATGGTGCTTGATTGGCTTTTGACATATGGCAGACTCAAATACAGCTGTTCATTAGGAGTCTGTTATTTAATATAACTTCTTTCCTATATCATGAGTTTTGAGAGCTAACTTTTATGGTCCTTAAATCTATGTTACAATAGCTTTTCTAAAAGGAATTCCGAATCACTCCTCAAAGTTAACTTACAAGAACGATGCAAGAACTATAACCATATAATTTATTTTACAACATTCCGACACAGAAAATATTCTGTTCCTATTAGAATGGAAGTGATCCTTCAAGTTTCTACCAATTTCAACTAAGAAATGTGAAAAACTCACATGACAAAACCAGTAACGGTAGCACTGTGCTATAGATTCGGTTTGCTTTTCTTCTTAACGACTAAATGTAAAATTACATTTTTACACATTTCCGTGAAAATTGTGATAACACAATGCGTGCAGCACATTAAAAACAAAATGAAAACATTCCGAGTAAATATAACAATTTCTGAATCTAAGACTAAAATGGCAGCGTTGTAAAAAGTGACGACAAAGTATACCAAGGCAAGTACTAGACCCCACAGCTGACACCATCAGAAGGCATAAATTACACAAAACGGAGGCAATACTTACGTTTGTGTTCCTGCTGTCTTCACTGACGAAAGTTTCTCAAGACGACCGTCATCAAAATTCAACGCTTGAGAAATGTCTCGTCTTTCAAGATTTCGTTTCCTCCGGTTTTCAGCTGAAGGCATCACCTTGGGTGATTCCTCGCCTGCATCCGTCTCCGTTTCTAGAATTAAGGTTTGAAAATAATCAATCGAAATATTTTCATTACAAGCACATTCGCGTTCAGTTTCCAGCATGCATCGGTTTGTAGTAACAAGCGGGACAATCTTTAAACCTTTCTTCATGTCCACAGTGAATCCTCTCACCATTATAGATAAATTGTAGAAAACAGAATCTTAAAAAAAATTTTTCTTCAAAAGTTAACCACTGACAGACAAGTGGCACGACGCCGTAACGTAATAATCGTTTAGCAACCAAAGAATTGTCTTACTTTATTTAATAGCCCAAAAATTTGCACGGAATGTTAGTGATGCAAGCAACGTGCCCACTCTTTCATAACAGTTCTGTAACTTAATGGTTCTTGGTGAAAACAGGTAGCCCACAAAAATCAGTACGAGCTACGCCGTGTAGAGTTTAAAGAAGAACATCATGTTGTATTATTCTTCCTTCTTCTTAGGACCGTCTAATAACAATATGACGGTGTCGAATTTGGATTTTTTTGTTTATTGGTATAACGAGAAATTGTTCATACCATGCATAACAAAACTATATGCTATAAATATACTGCTAAGCGTTTCACATAAAAATCATGTTATCGTTGAAAGCTGAAGTAAAAGGAAGAAAATTTTGCTTGTTAGGTGCAGTAATATCGGAGAGAACTTGAACTCAAATATCTGTACACACATGTTCTTCGCATGTGGCAAATACCTTCACGTAAACACTAAGAATAAACCTGAAATAGTAAGCTGTAAAAACATAAATACGCGCCTTTAAACCTAAAAAGATGTGAGACAGAATCGATACTTATCAAACTTACTTTCCCTTGTGTCTGGCTGCACTAAAGAAGCGGCTCTTGACAGTACATCTAGCGGAGTCTCCATTACCTGAACGTGAAGAGTCAAAGATAGCTAGGGATAAACAATGAGCTCAAACGATCGGAGGCTCAATGAGAAATTCACATCCCTACGATATAAAGAACTCACCATAATTATATATCCCTCAATTAGAGGGAGCCTTGATTAAATGCCTTCCTAACAGATCATTCCAGGCAGTACCATTTAATAAATAGAAACAAACATTTGATTTGTGTTTAGGAATGAAAGGAATTAGTCATGATGCAAACCCCGTGACCAAACTATGTCGTTCGATCACCGTGATTGGCTAGAGGTGCGTGACATCGTCGCCAGACTCGCCAGAATAGTAACTGACAAATCAAATGGTTAGAAAGTGAACTGAAAGCATGAAGCGGAAATGGGTATTTGGTAATCACTGACTTCCATGTCAATTAGTTTAGATCAATTCTAAAATGAAATTGACGCAAATTTCAATTGTAGAAGGAGGACACCCTATTCAAATACATTGCAATACTCGTTTAAATCTCCCTTTTTGTTTGATACGTTTCTCAGACTTTCGTCGTCTTCGATGATATTGAAAATTTCGGGTCTAGAAATGATCGATGGCATCGAGATTCAAAGAAAATTAGCAAACGATTAGTTCAAATCCTAATATAAAATCGCTTGTTCTTGTCTTGGCCTACAGACAGCCTTGACATATTTTGTAAGCTAATGTTGTTAGGACAGAACGGTTTTGTTGGTAGCGCTCATCAGTTTCGGCCGTGCAGTTCATTCATAGAGGCAGTGGAGGGCGCCAAAAGGAAAACCTAAACATTTTTGACCTATCATATCTCTCTTCTCCATGATTCAGACTCAAAATATCTTATACATAACCAAGAGAAAATAATGCCCCAATATTTTCTGTCATAACTGAGAGTGTAAAAAATAAATCTCAGGAAATTCTCATACTCGATGTATTTCTGGGTTTACTTTTCTAGAGAGCACTCAAAGTGGAAAAAATGCAGGAAGAACTATTTTTAGTGCTATCAGTGACTTCTTCGGTGTTAGACAAAAGATTGAAACTGAATTGTAACAAATACGTTCATGAATTTTCCCCCTTGAAATTCATGCAATGTGAAGATTGCATGCAATGTAATATCACGAATAGGCGACATTTTTTTCTTACAGGGTAAAATTCAAGATTGTTACATGAAAGCTATCTGTTTAAGTAACATGGCGTCTGTCAGTACCGAAAGTGGAGTGCAGTTTGCACCATATTCTAGTGCTGTTGATGCTGCATTTTGGCATAGACTTACGCAGAACAAACTGGAAATGTATCAGTTAGACGACAAGCCTCAACCGCTACAGGGATATTACGTAAACAGTGAGTATGGTTCAATTAGGGAATGAGTGATCAAGCATAATTTTGGTAAAATTGAACAAACGCATTTCTCTGTGAATTTTGAAATTAAGACTCATTGTTTATAACTTACGCTAGCTACCAACCAATCCAACAGGAAATCGGACTTAATTCCGAAGTAATTTTTCGTGGTTTTTCTTCAAAAGATTAGATAGGTACCAATTATAGCTACTCCTTTAAACTAAGGCTAATTTTCTTTTGTATTTAATTAAGCTTAATTTCAAGTAAAAATTGTTAATCGGGTTCAATGTAAGTTTTAAGTAGGTAATTTAGTGTTAATAACTGAGTTGAAAACGTAAATTGGCCATCGTAAAAGGTAAAAAAGCTGACGTTTCGAGCGTTAGCCCTTCGTCAGAGCGTTAAATATAAGTAATCTGGTTTTCTGAAACAAATGCCAAGCCTGAGAGTGACTCTAGAAGAAGCTTGATGTATTCTGTGTTCTGGCTGCGAGCAACATTGCCACAATGCAGGGGTTATATTAAGGGTAAATTAGGGTAGTACATGGGGATAAAGGGAGAATTTTGTGGACCAAGGTAGTGTGGCTTGAAACAGGCCACAGTACAACTGTCTAGAGAGAGTTTAAAGTAATGACGATGACAACACTTTATTCCAGAGAAGGAAAATGAAAAATTGTAAAAGTATCTCTCGAAAGGAGATATTCTAGAGGTTAACCCTATACAAAAGATTCCCCGGATAAAAAGACCAAAACACTATATACAGATAATTAAAAACATACATACCTCTTACTAACCAAGTTTGAGGTCTGTACTGCCAGTTAAGGACCAACTTTTTCCACTCAGATTTATTGCGGCTCAAGCATGAAGTTCAAATAGGGGGAAAGTTTTCAATTGAAACAAAATTATGAAAAATGGTGGGCTATATTGACCAATAATAATGCACATGTTAGCTGCATCATCTACCCCCCCTCCGCCTGGAAAAAAATGAAATAAAATGATAAATAAAATAATAATGATAATAGGTGGATAGGTACAAAGTGGTAATTTTAAGGGCATAGTAAGTTTCTTAAATCTGCTTTGCCTTAAGGGGATAGATGATTAATTATCCTCTCTCTTAGGATTAGGGCCTGATATACGTCTGATCCCTATACCTCGACTATCCAGATGAACCTATGTAGGCCATTGAAAGAAAATTAAGCTAAATACACAATACCACTAATTCAAGGGGTGACTTACTGTTTTTTATGGAAATGAGTAATTTTGTCATGCTTTTTTTTTTATTGTTAGCAGGTAATTCAAATGATAAAAATATTCTGCAACCCTTATGTGTATTTAGTCTGCAGGGTTTCATTTTCTTTTCCTTAGGTGATCCTTCAGGGCTTGTATGCTGCTTTAATTTGGATTATAATGCCTTTTCTATGTAAGTGCATAAAATCCCTGCCCCACTTATGTGTGGCTCAGTGTTGTCCTTTTTCCAAATGACCTTTTCCATTATTTTTTTTTCTGCAATCTGTATGGACCTGGCATCTTTTCATGGCTTTTGTTTTAACCATTTAGATTAGAGATATTAGAGAATTGGCATGATTCAGCACCAGGGGTATCTGTCTGACTGAAAAGAATGATTTTATTTTCATTTTCGGCTTGAAAACTAATATAAAATAGTAACTGTGGACCATGTTTAATAATTATATAAATTTTATTTTGTTACTGATAACTAATAGCTGGATAGTAGAGAGGATCTTAATAAGTTAAAAAGAGGAAAGGTTGACTTTATTAAGTGGTTTCATGCCATTGTTGATTTAGATCTGAGGGAAGGCATTCAAAGTTCAGTGTAAACTTGATTTTCCAGTGAGAAGCCAGCACCTCAAAGAACATATCCTATGCAAGGAACATTGATCAATACAAACACTATTGAGGCATTCAGAACATACAATAAAATGGAGCTGATCCAGTCATTTGGACAAAAGGTAAATTAACTGTGATAGTTATTTGTGGAAAATGGTAGGCTTTGAATTCTAATGTTCTTACTACCATTAACCATAGTTTTATTTGCAGAAAACTCTGACTAAATAATTCCCTTGGGAGAGTTGTGCAACTTTATTATGTTAATTGACTGATTTAGAACATCATCTCCATACATTACATCTGCAGGCTCATAGAAATAACATGTTCAGAATGCCTTAAATGTGACCAGTTCTGCTTACAATTTTCAGAGTCCACAACAATCCTTACAGATGGAGTATTGAAAACTTTTTTACCAACCAGTTCTATGATTGCCAATGATTTATGAAAAAAGCCAAAACATATGATGGAACATTCCATTATATGTTTTTCACATGCCCTTTAGTCAGTTACAAAGTGACTAAAATATAACTAGAAAAGAAGCATGACTTGAAATGAATCATTAGTTGTTTAAATAAGTCTTAAACTTTGTATTGAAGATATGGGATAATGTAAAATCAAGCAAGGCTTTGGAGGACCCATCAGTGCTTTGTCAGTTTGTGCTTATGACATTTGCTGTAAGTTCCTTTTTTATGTTTTCTGGTTCTTGTATCTATAAGTGGGATATAGTAAATGAATAATGTTAACAGTGATCATAATATTAATTTCATTTGTCTTACAAGAATGCATCAGTTGATATTAAGTAAATTCTGGTGTAAGTCCATGCAAAGGAACAGATAATTAAACTGAACAAACTATTGATATTTATATCAGTGACACTATATACAGAAGAGAACTAGTAATAATTATTGGTTTCCTCTCAGATAACTCTGAGTGTTTAGTAACAGAGTGTGTCATTAACTTGTAGATGTTGTGGTTAAAAATTTTCTTGGCTTAAAATATATTCATTGATTTTTATTTTCCTTTGTTTTGTGTTGTTATTAATGAATAGAAGACAAAGGAATATAAAATCAACTTGGTTTGAAAAATTATTTGAAATCAAGAAAAATTAAATAACTCCAGAAATGTTGCAGCAAGAACAACATGTACAAGTAGTTGTTTCAGAAACTTGTCCAACTGAGCAACTTTCCTCCAAAATAAGTGAGAAATAGTGCTGACTGTTGTGGTTAATGATGTAATCATTCTTCATGTGTTTTTCAACAGGATCTAAAGAAATATAAGTTTTATTACTGGTTTGCATTCCCTGCTTTATGTCCTGAGACCAGTGCTACTCATGTGGCTCCTCCTGTTCATCTCGGTGACTACTTTACACCCTCCCAGGTGAGAACAAATGTTCAGTTTGCTTGTTTTTTTGGTTGTTAAATGACATTTGACTTGATTGTGGGTTAAGGATTTTATTATTAAATGCTTAATATGTTTATTTTTATTAAATTTATTTGTTGTTTTAACTCTATAGATTGCTAGTCTACAAGCATCGTATGATTCTCTCTCTGTGGGTGGTCTTGGTGAGTAATTATGATTATCAGAATCAAGCTATGAGTTTTCTGTAGTTCAATTTAACACTAAATCCCCATTAGGAACCCACAAACATAAATCAAAGGCTCCTTAGAGTTACCTCACAAATTTCTTAATTTTTCAATAAAGTGATGAGAGCCCTTTGCCATCTCCTTCCAATATTGCATGACATACCCTTTACACCTTAACATCAGTATTCATATTCTCCATACTGTTCTCTGT